CCCCCCCCCCACTGCCCCCCGCCCCAGAGGAGAGCGTTTGCTTGGAAAGCCCCTTTCCACTCGGAGGCTCCCAAACATGCTCTAAAAACAGGGCCCAAGAGCCGGTGGGCAGGGGAGGGGCACTCGGGGCTCCAGGCTGGGGTTCCAGATGCTTAGGCAAAGGCACCCTCTGACTTCAGTTTTGGGGGGCAAAGGCCTGTGGGGCTCAGGCCCCGAAGGGAGCACAGAGGAGAGCGTTTGCTTGGAAAGCCCCTTTCCACTCGGAGGCTCCCAAACATGCTCTAAAAACAGGGCCCAAGAGCCGGTGGGCAGGGGAGGGGCACTCGGGGCTCCAGGCTGGGGTTCCAGATGCTTAGGCAAAGGCACCCTCTGACTTCAGTTTTGGGGGGCAAAGGCCTGTGGGGCTCAGGCCCCGAAGGGAGCACCACAGCCACATGGGCCTGTCGGGGGATGGAAGGACACGACCAAAGCCAGTAACTCTACCGGCGGCCTCAGCTCAAAACATTTGAAAACCATTTAGGATGAAGGCAGGGTGTAGCTCAGGATGCAGGGAGGGGAGAGCTGGGGGCTGTGTGCAGGCAGGGTGTAGCTCGGGGCAGGGAGGGAGAACGTAGGGGATACAGGAAGGGGGGAGCTAGGGGCTGTGTGCAGGCAGGGGGTAGCTCGAGGCAGGCAGGGAGAGCTAGGGGCTGTGTGCGGGCAGGGTGTAGCTGGGGGCAGGGAGGGAGAACGTAGGGGATACAGGAAGGGGGGAGCTAGGGGCTGTGTGCAGGCAGGGGGTAGCTCGAGGCAGGCAGGGAGAGCTAGGGGCTGTGTGCGGGCAGGGTGTAGCTGGGGGCAGGGAGGGAGAACGTAGGGGATACAGGAAGGGGGGAGCTAGGGGCTGTGTGCAGGCAGGGTGTAGCTCAGGATGCAGGGAGGGGAGAGCTGGGGGCTGTGTGCAGGCAGGGTGTAGCTCGGGGCAGGGGGGGGGGAGGGTGGGGGTACAGGAAAGGGGGGGGAGAGGGCG